CCCTGAACCTTTATTTCATTCATTTATTTATATGCAGTGCTGAAAATTGAGCCCAGTGCCTCATACATTGAGGCGAGTACTCTACCACTAAGCCACAATCCTAGTCCTTGCTAACTCTTGATGGTTACTTTAGTGATTTCTCTAAATTTGTTCTCTAGCCAGGCCTAAACTTCAGTAATCAGGTGGAGAGGCGACATCAAGAACATGCCAGACACATCTCCTTTGGTGGTAATCTCATTACCTTTTCACCTCTAAGGCCCCTCAGTGGAGAAAAACCAGAAGAATTTTGAATTTAAAAATAAATTCAATGCTGTGAAATATTTGTAGGCAATTAGAAGTTTGATGAAGATGTATTTGTGTTCACTTCTATTCAATCCATTTATATATTGTCATATAATGTTTTAGTATGTATTAATCTAAGTGTATTTTAGATATACTATTTCTCAGGGGAAGTGGGAATGTTTTGTATATTAACCACATAGAATAAAAGGTATGTTTCACCTTGTGTCTTTTGTCTAAAATGTGTAGGTTTAAAGCTAATTATACTTACTTAGAGCTTATAAAATTTTAGTTTAGTTAAAATATTAAATTTTAACCAACATATTTGTATCCTTTTATACTTTCTTTTTATTTTGAACTCTTAAATTTGTTGATGTTAAATAGCTTGGAGTATTACATTTTCCAGTGTATACTGAGTTTCTGTAGATGAACTTTCTGGATTCTGAAGTGAGCTTACATGCTACAATTTCAAATGGTTAAATTATTAGAGATGCCCATTAAATCCTTGCTTTTTTTCTTTTCACTTTCTGCTTGATGAGACAACAGCCATTGCCTTTTTCTCTTGAAGAGAGATTCGTATTAATCACAAAATGTGTTTGAAGTATATTCTCTTTTATACACTCTCTTTAACTATAGGATTGTAAAATGCATAGCTACAGAATAGCAGAGCACCAAAAAGACTCAGTAGCTAGTCACCAGGTCTGTTTTTTATGTCTGAAAATGAGTTGAAGATTGGAGGCATTTACCAAACAAATAGGAATTTTATGCCTAACCTTTTAAGATTAGGGGTTTTCAAATGAGAAAAGGAAACATACTTTCTTTCCCCTACCCCGTGACCCCCAGCACTGGCGATTAAGCCCAGAGGCATGCTACCACTGAGATTATCCTCAGCCCGTTTTGAGTCAGGGTCTCACTAAATTGCTGAGGCATGTTCCACCATGTGCTACTTTTGATGTCAGAGAAAGATGTGTTAGGCTGTGGGAAAGTTGGTACTTATTTACTTATACTTATTTTTGCAGTATTGGGGATTGAACCCAGGGGTTCTTTACTACCTAGCTATATCCTCTGATCTTGCTAAATTCTGAGGCTGACCTTGAACTTGTGATTCCCCTTCTCAGCCTCCTGAGGTGCTGGGATTATAGATGTGCGCCACCACACCCTGCTGAAAGATGGTATTTATTATCAAGCCCAAGTAAGCCCTAAATAAAGGCAGTGTGAGGTGCTGGCTTAGAAGAATATTATCAGAATGCCTCCTCTTCAGTAGATTAGTGAATAATTCAAACAAGCCTTGCAGAATAAAAGGAAATATACATAAAAATTATGGTTTTCTAAGGGCCCACAACCATGAACACCTAAAATGTTAATACAGGGTAACTCATGACTATTTATAATCTATATAGAGCAATATACAACATAATAGTAAAATAACATCTGTTCTCAAGGATAAAGCAGAGAAGAGTAAGTCATTGTCAGCAACAAAAAAAAA